AAGAACAGACAGTTCAATTCGAGGATATTAAAAACTTTCATTAGGTTACATTAAAAAAGGAGATTTTATAGGAATATGTGGAAAAATCTTTTTAATATATTAGTAACCATTTTCCAAAAAATAATATTTGCGAAAATGATAGCTTTGATGAGATGTCATTGGTAAAAGGCCACGTTATTACTGATGAAAAAATTAAATGTTGGTTCTCTGCAGATGTGAAAGCAGACAAAAAAATGCACGGAGTTATTCCTTCATTTTAAACAGAATAGTATTCCTTATGAAAATGTTTTGAAAATTGTAGAACACGTGCTATCTGTTCCAGGAACAAATGCAGCAACAGAACGTGTTTTTTCTAGTATCAACAAAATATGGACAATTGAAAAAAAGCAGTTGAACATTAAAACTTTAAAATCTGTATTAAGCCTAAAATATAATATGACCTATTTATGTGAGAAATTTCACAATGTTTTATTAAATGATCTGAATCTATTGTAAAGTATTCACTCCGATAAAAAATATGACAGTGAAAGAAAATCATAATTTTTTGAATAAAATATTAAATTAATTAAAAGACCTAATATTTTTGTTCAAATTATTGTTTTGGCAAATATTTTTATAGTTACCAATAGTTAATAATAAATATATTTTTTTGTATATTTATAGACAAGTATACGAATGTATGTAATAAAATATATTATTATGAATTTTTGGTCTGCTTTCATAACTAAATTATAATTCTTATTTCATTCCATTTGTCCCACTTTGTCTGAATGAAAATGTGGTCACTTTATCCTATAGTCATTAATGGTGAGCCACTGAGTAAAAGGAAAGGAAGATCAGATAAATCCTATTTTTCTTTGTATGAGCTTGGACGGAGAGTAAAACATATTCAGGCAGGTAGAAAAAATTTAATGATCTCTGCTGCATTTCCTTCTACTTTTTTTGCAGAGCTAATCTATGCATTATTTTTAAATATCAGCTAATAAATTTTTAGGAAATACATATGAAGCAACTGATCAACTGTAGAATTGTTGCATAAATATACTTGATCAGCATCATGGGTGACCAAGTACTTCTCTTCATGGTAAATTACCCTCAAGCCTTCTATTAGCAGATACTCATGAGACCATGGTTCATCTTTATTATCAGGGAATAGTAAATAGGAGTACACTGGTCTCTCATTCGAATGCTTGAAGGTTCAGAATCTGGTCATAAAGGCAGAATGTCTATTAACAGAGGGCCGACTGTATATTTTTGACAAAGAAAACATCTTTCGACTAGTTAGTGCTGCAAAGAAAGCTAAGGAATGGTTTTAAGAACATGATCAAAATTTTATTTGATTGCTCATATATCCAAGTGTGATAGCAAGTCCTCATTTTTTGCAATCCGAATTCCTTTTTGACAGTGGCAACGAACCTTCACTAAAGAGACTATAAATAGATTGGGTTGAAAGTCACTCGCTGTCTTTATAAATAGATTGGGTTGAAAGTCACTCGCTGTCTTCCTCCCCCTTTAAGTCAAGTGTGTTCTGCGGAAGTGAGAATGAGGCGTGCAAGACAAGTCGATAATTTTTCTCCTCATGTTTCATCATGAAATATTTCTTTTATGCCTGTGGTCGAACATGATAATACTGTTAAACTAGCCGGATATTTCTCTTCTTCATTTACTCCTATGGTTTCCTGGTAGCATGTTAGACAAGATTAAGAAGCGTAATGCTGTGATGTTTCAAGATTTTCTTCCAATCAGAATTATCCTACAAGGGCCATGCGGCGAATATTTCCTGGTGCTTCTTCAAGTGACCTTATCCTTCACAGCTACAAGGGAATGAATAATCTATAAAAAAATAGCTGGATATTTTTCGTTTTCACCTTGTGCTAAATCTCTTGCTAACATGACATCAAAAAATTACGCACGTATTTAGTGATGTTTCAAGGTTCTCATTTTTGCCTTATATGTGTAGCTTATGGATGAATTCGCGAAAGCAGTTGTGACTGAAGTTATGATTCCCTGTAACCTAATATTTGTCAATATTTCTGCTGCAGTTCTAAGTTTGAAATAAAATTGGTTTTTCACAGGTAAAATTTGTGTTGATCCATGAATAAGCCATTTCATTTAACTTAGGTTATGAAGGCACATCACGGAACTATCTTCATACTCTAACTTATTTAGGTTATTGCGGACACAATGCTAGTACTATTATCTCAATATCCTTTGGCTTATTACCGGTCATTATTTTAATTCTACATTATCTTGACATTTCAATACCAGGTTTGGCCTGAAATAAACCCACATGAGCGTTTCTGAGTAGATGTGCAGTGATTCATATTAATTTATGATTTTTAGTGAAATAAAAATGTATACAATCTGTTTTAGGTTACGTGCGTATTATGCCGTAGACCTTGAAAGTTGACTTCCATGTAAACATGAAATTTGGCGGAGATACTGCCAAAGTTGCGCCACTCGTTTCTACGAAATTCTGAAGGAACTATGCCTCTTTATTTAATAAACAATCGGTATTTGATACGATTCGTTTCTGCGCTTCGTAAAGACTTTTCGATTTCTATTTTGTTTGGCTCTCGCATTTTACTAGAAGATTTATGTAGAACGCTACGAGTATAAACTTCCCATAGGTACTTGTTCCAATATATTAGTGTATTCAGCTGACTATATCGTATTAACTAATACTCCCTTTTTTATGGTAGGATGCCATAATTTTGAAAATAATACGCTGCTTGCTGTTTTGTAGAAAGTAGGTCTCAAATTGAATACTTTACATATTTATTTATTTGAAAATGCAAGGAAAATTACAGCACTAACAGTTAATTCAAATCCTTGTTCATAAAAACTAAAGATGGCTTATTGGGAATCAATCGGGGTTACATCAAAAGAAAGTGCAGATGTTATGATTGTATTATTACGTCAGGCTTATTTGTACTTTGCGCTAAATCGTGCTGGAACTAAATAAACTTTGAGACCTACGTTCTACAGAACGGCAACCAGCGCATTATTTCCAAGTTAGCCATCTTACAATAAAAAAGTGAATATTATGCGTAATATATAGAGTTTGTTCGCAAATTTTTAGACGATTTGATTTTCATTGTAATTACAGGAATATTTTATATAAAATTTTTGTTTTATTTGTTATATTTGATAAAATTTATTGTTCACTATCTTTATTCACCGTAATTTCCAAGACAGCCTTTTGTAGTATCGGAAGAGGTATTTTATCCCATTGCTCTGGAACAGCTTTCCAAAATTTAAGGGGGGTTGTAGGTCGACGTTTGACAGTCCGCTTTTTAAAAGTGCAAAAGCGCAAAAATACATTGGTGATAGGTCAGGAGATTTAGTAGGTATATGAGGTGAGGCCTTGACACGCATTTTTTTGTTCAATATTTGCTCGGAAATTAAACAGTCGCTTTCGACGGGTCGTTGCTTGCTTTGTCTCGATGCAGTTCTACTGATTGATCACACTGTGTGTAAAGAGAAATTATTACATATTTGAAAAATTAGGTATAAAATATGTTTTTTATAATATGTGGAGTTAATATTCTTGTCAATTCCGTTTATTTTTAATTTGCCGTTATATGAAAAACCAGCAACAATCATAAATCCCTTTGAAAAATTTTATTTAGGTTTTTTGAACCATGTTCTTAGATGATAATCAATGGATGTATTTTTTTGCAATCTTTTCAGTACTCTCAAGATTTATCTACTGTGGCACATTTTTTCCATTTTCGTCCTGATAAATGTTTTTCATAAAGAATTCGGAAGCACGTATTGCTTTCGGCGGTATGTTGTGGAGAAAGACGATACACATTATGTTTTTTTCTCCTTTCAGTTCCGCATCAATCACTTTGCTTACAATTGGCACTTAGCATATTGATGATTTTGATTTGGCAGATTTTCTTTTAACATTAAAGATCTTACTTTTGCAATATTCAAAGCATTCTCTTTTTTTCTTTGGATATGTATTTGGAACAATATTTCCATTAAAAGTTAACTTTTGACGTTTTTCCCTTTGTTGCTGACAACATTACCTATTGTAGCTTTAGATATAAAAAACCATGACTTTCACAATTTTTATAATTAGCATCTTCGAATAATTTTCTTCGGAGACAACAGAAACATAACTTTCTATCCATTTCTTCTTTAAAAGTGACATTTTACATGAAAACAAAACTGTCAAGTAGCAGACGATATTTTATTCTTACAAAAATATAGTTGCAGTTAAAAAAATTCGAAGTAAAAGACTTCTTTTTCACAGGAAAAAAAAAAAAAAAAAAAAAAAAAAAAAAAAAACAACGTCTAAAATTGTGCCGACTCTGTATGAGTAACCTCCAACTTTCATGATTCAGTGGTAGCCAATTTTTACTGGCGACGGGATAATATTGTTGACAGCCGGCCAGCGAGTGCCGAGTGGGTCGTCGAGTGCACCGAAGGAGTCTGTTAGAGTATCGCGGTTAGTGCATCGTCGAGAGAGCTTATTGGGCTCCGGGAACGACTGAATCAAAGAGTCGTGAGCTGTGCTCTTTGTGTCTTCGAGTCATCGCGAGTCCTAGCGTGGAGAGTCTCGAGAGTACGTGGAGTTCCGAGAACGACCAGACAGATTCGGGAGCTGTACTCTAGTGCTTTGCCGTGAAGCTGTCCCCACCGTGATAGCCTGATAACCTGGAGGCTGTGTCGCTGATCTTGTCAGCGTGTTAATAGTAGTTCATCGACGACTCTAAAAACGTCTTTTGGAGCTGTCCTGACAATACTGGCCAATAAAGTGTGTTTCGATACTTCATCAAGTGTCGTCGTTATTCACTCCAAATCTACGAACCCCGTACGAACGTGAAGGAAGAAAATAACGTCTAATATAAGAAATAACTGGTGTCAGAAAAGAAAAACGTAACAATATGTAAGCACCGAGGATTAGTAGAGGTTTTAAAATTTATGTATAATTTTGCAGTTTGTAACAAGGAAAGTAATAAATTGTTTAATAAACATCTTCTTTCTAGGTGGACCATTAGATCTGATGTCTCGAAGATTAATATGTGCTTCTTCTGAAGAGCTGGCCAAGACATTATCAAAAGAGTTAAAGCATATACAGTTTCCTCGGGACCAGTGATTTTGTACTTGCTGTTTAAATTCTTTATATGCTTGTGAATTTTTAGTAATAAAATCTTATAAAAGTGATATTTTTTAACTACAAATGCAAATCCCGGTTCATGGGTATCGTTAATTAATTTCGGTTCAATAATTATCATCCTGTGGCATAAGTTTCCTCGTTGAGTTTGAATTTAAGGATTTAATCTTCTTTTTAAATAAAATAAATAAATATTTCTCTTGTGTACTTTGATACGAATTATTTTCCTACTTTTCTGTTTAAAGGCATTTTTAACTTAACCTTTAACTTCTGTTTAAAGGCATTTATAACTTAAAAATGTTTTAATTTAGTGTTTTCTAGAGATTTTGTTATCTGTTAAGTTTTTAAAATTGTTTAACAAATTGATTACTGCAATTTCTATGTAATTCTTGTGATAAGTACTATGTATATTTATTGTATGAGATAACTTCAATGTAAGAATGTTTAGTGATATATTGACGATTAAATATGTTCATTAATAGATACTACTTGATATTCATTACTGAATACTTCTTGCAGAATTAAAAATTTATTTAAATAAATGTATAGAATATATTGATTACTTAATAGTGAATTATAAATTTTATAGTAAATTATGAGTTTAAGAAGAAAGTTAAAAATTTTGAATCTGTATTATTAGGATGTGTTGCCTTTAATAATATTAAGAATTGAATATGGAGCTATTTCTCTTGAAAAGCTGTATAAAGAAATTTAGCACTATTTTAGTTGCTGTTTGATATTATGCAATATGTACAATAAATGAATCTCATTCATTTCATAAAAAATTCTTAATGAAGAAGTGTATGAAAATGAATTATTTACTATAAAAGAAATATAGTGTTGTGACTTATCCGACTTGTCGGGCAGTAGCATCAAACCAAATATAAGAATTTTATTCTGGCGCGGAGCTCGGAATGCATCTGCTATTGGAAATCATATAGGTGGCAGTATGACTTTATTTCATTTACAGAAATTTTATAAAGAATATTCTATAAATATAGCTACAGGTTTTATTTCCTTAAATATACATCTTCGTCAAATGCAATCTATGGCGTAACTAGAGCTTTTGCCGCCCCTTTTAATATGCAAACAAATAACTAAAAAAAATGTGAAAATGACATATAGAGAAATAATTTAAACTCTATATTTATTTTTGAAGAAAAATTTTAGTTCCAACATTGTACAACTGTATTAGTTTGAATTTTTTGTTTTTATTTTTTCCCCCCTCAAAACCTTCAATGGCACTGTAGAAGTCTAATTGATTGCTCCAACTGTTGTAGTGAAAGATTTCTTAAATGCAAAATAAATAGTTCTAAAATACTTTCTAAATGATTTTTTTTTTTAAAGAAAACTCTTCTCACAATCAACAGCGCATACAGCAGTGGTGAGGAAAGTTTTCAATAGTATTATTGGAATTTTATTATGGGGAGATTGTATTGTAAAATAAAATAAACTGCAAAAATTCAAAAGGACCACACTTCTACGTTCCCGTTTCGTTTTTTCTATTAATTACGAGAATAAAACTCTTGAAATACTTCCTCTCTTAACAAGGCATTCTTTATTATTAATGTCACCGTGATGATAATTTAGTTGATATTAGTAATTTTCATTCAAAAGTTTTGAGAGAATAAAAAAAGTATAGCAAGAGTATGTAGCTGTTGAATTCTCGTGGTGATTTTTTTTTTAATACTTTACTTTGAATAAAAGCTATTTTTTCTCCCTCAGTTTATTTCCGTATGCAATTCAGAATATCATTATTCTTTACGTACCTCAAAGATCCACGCAAAAAATGTCTCTCTCTTCTAGCTATGTCCAATCTTACCGCCGTGTGAAGGGTTTACAAGGAACTAGAAGAAGGAAGAATTAAGATTCAAAATACAAGACGAGTTCACATTCGCATGAAGCTGAATTCATGGGAGGCCTAGTTTACATTCAGAGAATCGATTCTTTGTAGAACTGACAGTGTGAAGTATCAACATGGCGTAGAACCGACACTATAAATGTACACTTCAAGGTCTTTACAACCTTTTCATATTTATGATCATAACGCGTGTCGCCATCACATTTTTTTTCTCTGTACCTTATTTGAGACTGTTGTTCAAATCAGCCTTCATTCCTGCGCTTTTTATGAAACAAAAACCGCTAAACGGGAATGAAGTTGGAAAAAAAATAGTGAAATCTGTCATCTTCCGCAGCTATCGTTACCATGGCTATGCGGCAAGCCGGGTGGGTAAAAATATTCCTAAGGTGCCTATTCTAAATTTATTTAATTTGCTCCGGTATATGATACAAAGATCCATAGACTATACCAGCCTACGATCAATTGGATAAAATAGAAATTTTGTTAATGGTGTAATAATGAGTTGGAAGATTATTGTTTTACTATGTCTGTAACAACTTTGTAAAAGTGCACAATCGACAGCTCGCAAGTTCGACACCGTCATAAAATCGAAATAGGTTTTTGAGCCGCCTCCTCGATCTTATCAGATACTGCGTAGAAATGGCAGAAGCTGCCATTTCTATGCAGTGTCTGTCCTGTCCCAGCAGAGAAGTTTAACTTTTGTGCATTGCCAGTCCTGTACCACATTTCTAAGTGAGATCAAACGGTATTATCGAGATATTCTACAATTAAAACTTGCTTAGTACCATTTCCGCATAGTAACTGCGATCATTAGCAACATTAGGGCTGATGGAAATGGGTTTTTCAAAGGTTTGTGTATCTTCTCAGATAACACTTAAACGTTCTCTAAACTTACCCTGTGGGGTGAATTTTTTTTAATATAAAATTTAATTTTTCGTAAACATTCCGATTGGAAAATATTTATTAGGCTTTGATATATTTAGCTACAGAACGTTCCATACCTTTAAGCGCAAATTCGCTGAGGTGCATAATGAATATTTTGATGGGGCCAGTTACAAATTTCATAACGAGTAATATTTTCCCTTATAACATAAATACTAATCGCAAGAATAGAAGATCTTGTTTCGTAATTGATCTCTATGAATTACCGTCATTAATAGACAGTAAAACGTGATTTAAGTCGATAATTTTTTTAACTAGAATAACTCCGTAAATTCTGTATATAAAAGTAGGCAACTTTTTGTTTTTAATTTAAAGCATATTGCATAATTTACTAACTGGCACTTCAAAGCCCATATAAAATCTATGTTTTATATCTCTTTACAGAATCTTTCCAGCCCTTACAATATTTTGATAAAATCCCTTTAAATTTTGTCATTAGGAGTACATGTCTAGGAAAATAATATTTGAGGAAATAAAGCCAATAATTATTTTTTTGGACATCTTGTACACATGCAGTAATTAGGGGAACATTTCATCGATCTACGTTAAGTCGTTAAGTAATTATACAATCGGTTTCGATTTCTTTCAACAAGTGGTGATACCGAGTTTTTACCGAGATTTATGGTTAGGTTTACTTGAATATGGTAAAGTATGCGAGGGCTGTTTGCCTAATGCGAGATTTTTGAAGCTTTAAAAAGATTTAAAGCTTTGCGAGTACTTTTCGAAAGTTTGATGTGCAAAATAGGAAAGTTATGGACCGTTAAAGCATTTTAAGTTTCTAAACGTCTTATTTTCAATCAAGGTAAAATACAACAATAATAGAAAAAAAGGAGGGTATTTGTGCTTCTATTTTGTTAAAAAGTAATATTTTGGTGTAGGGTATTCATGCTGAAAGTAATAAGGATTGTTTATTTACAATGTGTAATACTAGTTTCTTGGTTTAATTGTTTTCCGCATTCACCTTTTGCCGGCTGTGCCCAGTGAAAAAAGATTAATCGGGGTTCCATTATATGTTCATTTTCAGTTTGTACTCAGATAATTGAATATATTTACATTACATTTTTGAAGCTTGATTGAACATTCGAGGTTTAATAGTTAATATGCAGCTGAATAAAATATTAAAATGGCATTTTATATTTCGTTTCTGCTGCATAAAATCTCAAAACTTTTAAAACTTGTGCAAATATAATTTTCATTCAAAACAATGAAATAAGTAATAAATTCTAGTACACAATAAATCCATTTATAGTTAAGCAAATGTACTGAAATACGACCAAAGAGGAAATTTTAGCTGCTTGCATTATTATCGAAATCCCCTCAGAAATTCTTACAACTTCTCATGAAACTGTTTTGCGCTAAAATAAAGCCTAATTTACTGCTGACCATTTCATTAACTTTACTCATAAAATTGCGATTTTAAGAGAACTATCCACAGGAATATTTTAATTTAATGAAGAAATGGAAAAAGTCTTATTTTATTTTCTATTATGAAGTTTTATAGCATAAATATATTAATTAAGCTATTTAGCTATTATCGAGTTTTCAACAAAATATACACAGTTATAAAATATTCAAATGTTTAATTGAGCAGTCTTTGTTTTATCTTTTGTACTCAAGTATTCGAGTACTAGCTGTTTGATATTACAGCAAATTTAGACATTTCGAAGGAAACCTCTTTCGAGGTGTTTATTTTTAAAAAAAAATTATTTTGTGTCTTGAAAAAATAAAGGTGTTACTAATTGAAGGAAATATTGATTGCTTCTTGAGCAAGCGATGCAATGCAATAGATACACCGCTGCGTCTTGAATAATTATTAAATAGGTGTATGAGTTTTCACGTGACGATTATTTATAATGAACTAATATTATGACAAATTTTATCTCCTGCCATTTGGTATTTCTGTTTTTAACAACTAGTTTTGAATGTATAATTTTGTCTCTTATGTCTTGAATTCTCGAACAATTAATTATTAAACTAATAAGCTAATCATAATTATTTAACGCGAAATCGTTTAAGAGTTAAACTGAGATAAGCGTATGAAAATTAAATTGCATTTTATAAAAGTTTATGATTTATATATTTTCATCTTAAATTTTAATTTTTAAATTTTTAAAACTTAAATGGTAACTCCTTAAAATTTTTCTATGCATTGGCCAAGTATATGCATTTTTTGAATAAAAGTAAAACATTTTAACCCAGGCAATAATTAAAAAACTTAACCACCCAGAGTAATGGTTCTCAGTCTTTTTTGGCTCTCATGCCTGTATTCAGAACAGCTGCTGATTATTTTATACTTCTCTACATTTCCTGTTACATTTAAGTTTGCTGCAGATTATTTTATACTTCCATGCATTTCATGTTACATTTATGTTTCTCGTGTGTCGTAGGTGGGAAACTTCGCGATGCGCCCTTTGAGGACCATTTGTTTAGAGCAATGTTTCCAAATGTGTACCTACCTACACTCGAAATTCCTAGAAGAAGAAAATATGATTGTGAAGTTAAAGTGAATAAGCGTACACCAGTATCAGCAATTAGTTTATAATTACAAATTACATTTTAATTAATAAAGCTTTTTGTGAACCACTAAAGATTGATCCATCCAGTAGTGGATCGTGAATCACACTTTGGAAACCATTGGACTAGAACAGCGTTTTTCAAACTTTTTCCAAGTGAGGCCCATTTCTATAAATTAGAATGCTCTCCGGACCATCTTACTCTTTTTTTTTAATCATATGTTACTTTCCAGTTTACTTATATTTTAAAAATAGAATTAATTAAATTTCATGTAATTTTATACTGATATTAACTTATTAAGTATATAGATTAAAATTTATATTCCTATTTAATAATTCAAGTCTGTTAGAGTTTAGATAATCTTATTAAACTAAATTATAAATAAATGATGGTACTCGCATTAATGAAATGGATGAACCTAATGATGCTTGCATTTGTTCTATGTTTCCATGTATGCTGGTAAGAAGCACCACAGTCGTAGTGCTTTAAATCTTCCTTTTCTTGTTAAGATTAGATTGGAAAGCACGTAAATAGGGTAACCAATAATAAATTTCATAAAATGTCAGTCTTGCGGGGGGGGGAAGTGATACATTATCGCAATGTGAAATTACCTACAGTTAACCTGAATTTTATTTTTTGTCTGTTTCGGAAATCCAGGAGGATCGCAAAGGCAGGTTTGAGGACTAGTTGTGGTCCACAGACCACAGCTTGAGAAACACTGCTTTGGAGAAAAAGAGTAGGTGGTTTTGTGGTTTTAAGAAGACCTTTATTTACAACTGTATATTTATGTTTAATCATATACTGTTTTTCAAACATTTAAAGCTTATTTTAATAAAACATTTATGATTAAAGATAATTTTGAAAAGAAAGATAGAACATGGATTTTTTTAGAAAAGAAATGCATTAGTGGCTAAAATTGCGGAAACATTTCAGAATCTGCACATTTTTTTGTAACATCTTATATCATTAGAGTATTATATCAGAAAACACATATTATTGCATT